CAGAAAAAAGCGCAAACAGAAAAAAGAGCAAACGGAAAAAAGCGCAAACGGAAAAAAGAGAACACAGAAAAAAGCGCAAACAGAAAAAAGCGCAAACACAAAAAACGCAAAGAGTAAAAAGCGCAAACACATAAAATGCTCACACAGAAATTTCCGCACACAGAAAAAGTATCGGGGACGGTCGTTTGTTTCGTAAACTGCACTAGACATCTTTTTCTTTTAATGAAAATTCATTGACATATGTTACATCTTTTAATAAATCCTTAATTAGTGCGTTGGGCTTGTATGAAAACTCACTTTGAACTAACTCAATTACATACTATTTATTATAACATTACACGGTAAGCGTCACCCAACTGTTATGATGTGAGGTGAGGACAGGGTCGAAGTCTGTATATAATTAACTTCTTTATTGTTTGAAAGTACGAACGAGACTTAGACTGCCTATTAGAGAATGGACCGCCAAACTTTCCTAAACACACTATTTATACCCTACCTAACCTCTAAATTTCCTGCGCTATATGTCACTTCCCTCCCAATCGTTCCTATTCTACTTAATTGTGTGTACTATTTATTTACATTCTTTAATCTCAATATAACTAAAATAGATTATAGTTTGAAGAGTAATGAAATCATGTTAACAAAAGGGTCGCTACTCTAAATCTATGCGAATACTTAATTGTAACAATCCTAACACAAACCAAAGCATGTACTGAACGGCTACAGGACATTACCCCCCACCCCCGAATTTACCCCCGTATTTACCCCCTTCCCCCGGGAGTAATTACCCCCCCCCTGTCAATTACTCCCTGTCAATTACCTCACTGGAGAATTACCGCCCCCCCCCACCCACTTACGCGTCCAACAAGATAGAATCCTGATTGTATATATAACTCTATACCTATATATTACCATAATCCTAACCTTAAGACAAAGACAAATTTCATAAGAATTCACCTCACCCAAAAAATTAACCAAAAACAAAACCCAAATCTAGACATTAATTTAAGCCTAACTCTAACCCTAACACCTAACACTAACCCTAAGCCTAGCCCTAACTCTACTCCTACCCTTACCCTTACCCTTACCCTTACCCCTACCCATAATCCTAACCTAACCCTGACCCTGACCCTGACCCTGACCATAACCCTAACCCTAGCCCTAACCCTAACCGTAGTCCAATCTCAAACCATAGCTCTTACCCTAGCTGAACCTTAAGCTATGACCAGGGGTAATGTCCTACTGTGCGGGGGGGGGGGGGGTAATTACTCCGGAGATAATGACGGGGGGGGGATGTCCAGAAGTAATTGACGGGCGGGTGGATATGCCCTGTTCCCGGACTGAACAGCATAATGGGCATCGTGTAGCCTATGTAACAGAAGAGCTATGGATGTTGACATCATTTTGCATTCGTCCGGTAAACATTTTCAGTAAAAGACTTTCAAAAACATTCCATAACCTTTTTATAAAGAAACAAAGAGAGAATAGGTTTTATTATAACATCAGGCTCTGACTAAAACCTACTCCAATGCCATCTACATTGTTAAACTGATTAACTATGTAATGTAGGACTCAATAGGATCAATGAACAAAACTTACACCAAGCCCGTTTGAAAGTTAGGGTTTTGTAACACTGTTACTAAGCTAGTAAAATGGAAATGTGCATAATCTATACCATCTACATTAACACCCAACCATCTACCTAACTACCCACCCACATATCTACCCACATACCCACCTAACAACCTAACATATCCACCAAACTAATTAGGTAGGTAGGTAGGTATGTAGGTAGGTAGGTGGGTAGCTAGATAGCTAATAGGTGGGTAGGAAGGTAGGTAGGTAGCTATATAGATAGCTATATAGGTAGCTATATAGGTAGGTAGGTAGGTAGGTAGGTAGGTAGGTAGGTAGGTAGTTAGGTATGTAGGTAGGTAGGTAGGTAGGTAGGTAGGTAGGTAGGTAGGTAGGTAGGTAGGTAGGTAGGTAGGTAGGTAGGTAGGTAGGTAGGTAAGTAGGTAGGTAGGTAGGTAAGTAAGTAAGTAAGTAAGTAGGTAGGTAGGTAGGTAGGTAGGTAGGTAGGTAGGTAGGTAGGTAGGTAGGTAGGTAGGTAGGTAGGTAGGTAGGTAGGTAGGTAGGTAGGTAGGTAGGTAGGTAGGTAGGTAGGTAGGTAGGTAGGTAGGTAGGTAGGTAGGTAGGTAGGTAGGTAGGTAGGTAGGTAGGTAGGTAGGTAGGTAGGTAGGTAGGTAGGTAGGTAGGTAGGTAAGTAGGTAGGTAGGTAGGTAAGTAAGTAAGTAAGTAAGTAAGTAAGTAGGTAGGTAGGTAGGTAGGTAGGTAGGTAGGTAGGTAGGTAGGTAGGTAGGTAGGTAGGTAGGTAGGTAGGTAGGTAGGTAGGTAGGTAGGTAGGTAGGTAGGTAGGTAGGTAGGTAGGTAGGTAGGTGGGTAGGTGGGTAGGTAGGTAGGTAGGTAGGTAGGTAGGTAGGTAGGTAGGTAGGTAGGTAGGTAGGTAGGTAGGTAGGTAGGTAGGTAGGTAGGTAAGTAGGTAGGTAGGTAGGTAGGTAGGTAGGTAGGTAGGTAGGTAGGTAGGTAGGAAGGTAGGTAGGTAGGTAGGTAGGTAGGTAGGTAGGTAGGTAGGTTGGTAGGTAGGTAGTTAGGTAGGTAGTTAGGTAGGTAGGTAGGTAGGTAGGTAGGTAGGTGGGTAGGTGGGTAGGTAGGTAGGTAGGTAGGTAGGTAGGTAGGTAGGTAGGTAGGTAGGTAGGTAGGTAGGTAGGTAGGTAGGTAGGTAGGTAGGTAGGTAGGTAGGTAGGTAGGTAGGTAGGTAGGTAGGTAGGTAGGTAGGTAGGTAGGTAGGTAGGTAGGTAGGTAGGTAGGTAGGTAGGTAGGTAGGTAGGTAGGTAGGTAGGTAGGTAGGTAGGTAGGTAGGTAGGTAGGTAGGTAGGTAGGTAGGTAGGTAGGTAGGTAGGTAGGTAGGTAGGTAGGTAGGTAGGTAGGTAGGTAGGTAGGTAGGTAGGTAGGTAGGTAGGTAGGTAGGTAGGTAGGTAGGTAGGTAGGTAGGTAGGTAGGTAGGTAGGTAGGTAGGTAGGTAGGTAGGTAGGTAGGTAGGTAGGTAGGTAGGTAGGTAGGTAGGTAGGTAGGTAGGTAGGTAGGTAGGTAGGTAGGTAGGTAGGTAGGTAGGTAGGTAGGTAGGTAGGTAGGTAGGTAGGTAGGTAGGTAGGTAGGTAGGTAGGTAGGTAGGTAGGTAGGTAGGTAGGTAGGTAGGTAGGTAGGTAGGTAGGTAGGTAGGTAGGTAGGTAGGTAGGTAGGTAGGTAGGTAGGTAGGTAGGTAGGTAGGTAGGTAGGTAGGTAGGTAGGTAGGTAGGTAGGTAGGTAGGTAGGTAGGTAGGTAGGTAGGTAGGTAGGTAGGTAGGTAGGTAGGTAGGTAGGTAGGTAGGTAGGTAGGTAGGTAGGTAGGTAGGTAGGTAGGTAGGTAGGTAGGTAGGTAGGTAGGTAGGTAGGTAGGTAGGTAGGTAGGTAGGTAGGTAGGTAGGTAGGTAGGTAGGTAGGTAGGTAGGTAGGTAGGTAGGTAGGTAGGTAGGTAGGTAGGTAGGTAGGTAGGTAGGTAGGTAGGTAGGTAGGTAGGTAGGTAGGTAGGTAGGTAGGTAGGTAGGTAGGTAGGTAGGTAGGTAGGTAGGTAGGTAGGTAGGTAGGTAGGTAGGTAGGTAGGTAGGTAGGTAGGTAGGTAGGTAGGTAGGTAGGTAGGTAGGTAGGTAGGTAGGTAGGTAGGTAGGTAGGTAGGTAGGTAGGTAGGTAGGTAGGTAGGTAGGTAGGTAGGTAGGTAGGTAGGTAGGTAGGTAGGTAGGTAGGTAGGTAGGTAGGTAGGTAGGTAGGTAGGTAGGTAGGTAGGTAGGTAGGTAGGTAGGTAGGTAGGTAGGTAGGTAGGTAGGTAGGTAGGTAGGTAGGTAGGTAGGTAGGTAGGTAGGTAGGTAGGTCGGTCGGTCGGTCGGTCGGTAGGTCGGTCGGTAGGTAGGTAGGTAGGTATGTAGGTGCATCATGATGAAATGATATTAAATACATCATTGTTATGATGTGTGTTTTATCAGGGTATTTTGGTGCGAATGAAATTTTGCCATAGGAACGGGTTGTTATGGTATGCAAGCTGGGTAGTTTGGACTAGAGAGAATGTGAGAGATACTTCGTGTAATGTCAATATCAAGGATAGTTTTTATGTTTATTTAAACAAGAATAGTAGTTGAATAAATATTGACCAATAAAATAATAGGCATCGTTAAAGCGATTATCGCCTGTATCGTGGTGATGGAAATGCACATGGTAGTGGTATGCTTTAAATGGTAGTAGATCTCGTGATTAAACACGCAATCTCACAGCAGCCCGAACAGTCCTGTATAAATGTGTCATCTAGTCATTATAGGTCTTTGTGCTAAAATATCTCTTTCGCATTTTGCGTTGTTTTTTATAGTTGCGCTTTTTTCGTTTGCGCTTTTTTCGTGTGCGCTTTTTTTCTGTATGGTTTTTTTTCTGTTTGCGCATTTTTCCGTTTGCGCTTTTTTCTGTTTGCGCTTTTTCTGTGTGCGCTTTTTTCTGTTTGCGCTTTTTCCGTTTGTGCTTTTTTTCTGTTTGCGCATCATTTCGTGTGCGCTTTTTTCCTTTGCGCTTTTTGTTTTGCGCTTTTTTCCGATGCGCTTTTTTCCGTTGCGCTTCTTTCTGGGAACCCGTACAAACAACTCAGTCGAGGCATGGAGGTATAAAAAACCCAAAATATGCTCATGATCTTCTAATTCAGACTTTGGCCGGTCATCCCTAGCCAGATGATCTTCTAATTGAGACTTTTGCCGGTCCACCATCAAATCAATAGCTATTTCAGACTTTGACCGACCTATGGGAGGCGATATTGGCCAATGCGCGGATTGGCCGGCCAATCCGTGCATTGGTCGACTTCGGGCTTTGACCGTAACATATATATGAAACTGGTGGGGTTCGGTACCTCCATAAAAGTTAAGACCATGGTTACAGGTAGTCCAAACCACCTGGCTACCTGGACCTTTTAACAATGACATTTTTTAAATTCTAGGAAAAATTAACAAAGCTGTGCAAGAAAGGGGAGCCAACCAACATTTACCCGTTGATTAATTTGGACGCGTTAGACGTCATCCTGAGATGTGCTTTTTCATATGAGTCGGACTGTCAAATAGACAGGTGTGTATCCATACAACCAAATGCCAAATGTGCTTTTATATTTTTAAACACATGTTCAATATTGTAAAAAGGGTATTTCTTAATAAGCAATTATCATTAAATCTAGACATTTGTTAAATAAATTGTGCTTTTCTTAGTCTATCAAGTATGTTAATAAGACCGAATAATTTCAGATAGTAATTCAGAGTACCAGGAGAAGGTATACGAGGAGGTGGTCAGAGTTTTAGATGGTAGAGAACACTTGGAATGGTAAGTAAAGTTTATGTGTTTAATGCTTGGGACTATGGTGTTAGTCCGGTTCGGTATTCACCCTTCCCTCCGTCATTACCTCTAAGATGAAATACCCGAATTATCCACCCTTCATTGAAATACTTATACCTATCGTTATCCTTACACATATTGATCTCCTTGTTCATAAACCAGGCTCCCTAACTATAACTTTAAGAATAACGCTAAACCTAAACTCTAAAGTTAAGCCCAAAGCTAAACTATGAACCTAAACCTAAATCTAAACCTAAACCTCAACCTAAACTTAAACCTTAATCTTAACTTTAACCTTAGTCTAGAACTAATTTAGGCCGAGAGGGGTGTAATGTACATAAAGGTTGGCATTTTATAGGGGTGGGGATGTTCTGCCGCATTTTTTGAGACATGATTAGAAAAGATATACGTCTACCTTTTGATGTTTAAAATACTGTATCCCAACACAGGAACGACTTGCCGAAACTCGAAGTCACAACAAAATGTATTAAAGAAAGTCTTCGTCTTCACCCCGCAGTGCCGTACATAGAGAGAGAAACAGTGGAAGATTGTAGCATTAATGCACAGATACTACCTAAAGGTAAATATGACTGCACAGATCCAGCAGGTAAAACAAACAGGTAGCAACCTAAGAATAGTTGCCAAAGTAGCTAGTTTTTTTTTTAATTCTAATTGCTGCTCATTTTATGGACCGATACAATTTAACAGTACAAGATATGTACAATAATATGTTATAGTAAAATTTCATTAGTATTAACATGCTGATAAATAGAGACATTTCTAAGTATTAAGTCAACGTAGTTTTTTCTTGTATATATATTAAACGCCATTTTGGCTTAAGAATTATTTCAATTGTGTATTATTGTTGATAGTCGCTACTTTACAAAAACAAAACAAAACATTGATTCAAGCTAGGTAATCAAACAAGAAAAGAAACAAAACCTACAAAAACCAAAACTTTAACTCTCCTCTAGGTACTCGTATTGCAATCCACATCTGGCTTCTTCATCATAACCCTCATATTTGGGAAAACCCTGACGAGTTTAACCCAGAGCGGTTTAACCCTGATAACCAGGTTAAACTTGATCCGTTTCAGTTTGTGCCATTTGCTGCAGGCCCAAGGTAGACTAAATATTTTTGCTTCTGGCACATGAATTAATTTATCTTTTGTAAATTGGACTGAATAAGCATACCTCCTTGTAAATATTTTTTTTTAAATTAATTAACCCACCAAAGAAAATAAATAAGTCAATTAAATGTAAAAACACACATTTAAACATATTAAAGCAATTTTAAAACGATTGAGCCTAACGATATTTTACTTTTTTTCTGTACTTTACATTTTAATTTACTCCCATCCATATCTACGGAAACAAGCTCTTAATTTAGTATTTAGCAAGCTACATTGTTACTCTGTATTGTGAGAAAATTTATGGACAAATAAAAATTTTGAAACTAAATTCAACTTACCAGTTCACATTATTTTGTTCACAGAAACTGTATTGGTCAAAATTTTGCAATGAATGAAATGAAAACAACTATTTGTAAAATAATCAAAAAGTAAGTACGGTTGTTTATAGTATATGCTTAACAACGCCAGATTTAAACATTTTAAGAACAATTTAAAAATTTTCATCCATGATAATGATGCTTATGTTAATTTTTGTTTCTCTAATGAACTGTTTATTTTTATTTTTTAATGCTTAGAAATAAATGTCTTATTAAACAGACTAATTTTTTAATTAAATTAGGGCTTCGAACTGGTAATACTCTTTTCTTATTAAATCAGCAGTATCATCTTTGCCTGAAATAAAAATGGGTTAATTTATCTAGGTTCAAGCTTTCGGTGGATGCCAACAAAAAAGTGCGTAGACTCCCAGTAGTCACAATGCATGCAGAAGGCGGAATGTTTCTCAACGTTACGTTACGGAAATAAATTGTGCAAACTTAAAGATCAAAATTTTATATATTAAATTCATCGTAAATATATTGCCGCATCACAGTGCGTACAGAGAGAGAGAGAGAGAGAGATCTTTCTGATATTCTGAAATGCAAATATATTTGTGTAAAGCCATTACTACTTGCAGTAGCATAATATTGTCCATGAATTCAAGATATGGAGTTATTGAGATTTATGCTTAGTTATTAATCTGTACGTATTAAAACTTTTGACCATTTCATTTGTTTTTGTTGAGTAAACCTGTGCATACCAAAAAGAATTGAATTTACGTTACCAAAGCCACGACTATGTATACACACATGCACCCACACATAAATACATATTTGTACATATTGTTTTTCATGTTATATAAAAGATTATAAAAAAACACTTTAGCAGTTATAAAAGCAGATTATTTTTCAAAAAAAATTAGTGTGTTCATTAACCAGTTTTTTAAAACATCGTCACTTCTTTTAATACTAGTAAAAAAGCATTGCAAACAATGTATTTATGTGCCATTATATTTTTGATGAAACTCGATATAAACAGAAAAAACTAATATATAAAATAGTATATTTTTGAGCTTACCAATAGCCGATTTGGTAGTCGTCCAATTGACTGTGTTTTTTATTGTGCTCTCGCATAATATGATTAAGTGAGTTCAGCTGCCAGTGATTACTCGAGGTGGGCAGGCAGCGGTGGAGCAGAGGATTGGTTTTCAGGAGTGTTAAACATAACACCTAACCATTTATTCCCACATTCCCAACACAAAACCGCAGGCAAAATATGTTCTTCTCATATGCTTTTTTTTTGTTCTTCGTCACTAACGTATCTGAACTTTATTGTGACACGCTGAAGCAAATCACATAGGAAAACGATTGTCTTTATATTTTCAAATAAATGTAACATGAGATCTCATCAATCTAGTCTGATTGTTCAAGCAGCGAGATCTATTGTAATAATTTTTTTATGATTATCAGATCATTTTATTTGAAACCTAACTATATACACTGGATTGGCAGTTTGAAACAAATTGTGACGATGTAATCTTATTCATTTTTATATCCATAGCTCCTTTTTTAGAACTTCATTAAGTACTATCTGCGTTAAAAGTATCTATTTGTCTCCAACATAAACGTATACATACCAGGAGTTATTAAAATCATCCAGTCAGTACCTTCACGCGGACACCAAAGTTGAATTTATTGAGATGGTATCCGGCCTCCAGTCCGTGGTGCCCCCAAGAGCCCTGTCTTTATTAATGTTGACTACACAATCATTACATTTGCCTGCCAGTCTGTCAATCAGTCACTCAGTTAATCAGTCCGTCGGTCAGTCAGTCAGTCAGTTGGTTAATCGGTCAGTCATTCAATTAGTCAATAACTCAATTGGTAAGTTTGTCGGGTAGTCGGTCTGTTCGTTGGTAAGTAGGAGTAGTATATTAGGTCACTTTTGGAGCGAAGGCGCAGGCGCTGGGGGATGTGGAGGGTGAGGTGGAGGTGGAGGCGGAGCAAAGGATATATAGGAAAATACTCCCCGCCTGGGGGAGGCGGCGGGACAATGACATATAGCAAAATACTCACCCACCAGGGTGAGGTGGGTGAACCGCAGGTACAATGAGATATAGTAAAATACTCCCTGGGGGAGGTGGAGGTTCAACTTTAAGGTTCTATAACTCTATATATTTAAATACATTTTTTGATTTAACCGAGTTTACTTTCCCTAACATAAGTACATGTAAAGAGGGTTTCATATAGATCTGTAATGAATTAGGCCTTTTTGACTATGACTGGTTGTCCAGGTATTAACATGATAAGCTTTTTTGAGATACACGTACACACACACACACACACGCACACACACACACGCGCGCGCGCGCGCGAAATTCATACTAGGTCGGTAAAGGTGAAGAGAACTTATAGGTATACATTATCATCGCGACAACAAAAGCGACCCTTATTTTATTTACATGAAAGCGTGTTTTCCAAAAAGTGTCACCATCCTGTTGTCATTTTCGCAGCGGGGTTTATTTTAAGTGCACTCCGTGCACGCTTGTTTACATTTTAAAAGACGTGTCGCGTGTCTTCCCTAATAGAGAAACGAGAGGAAAGACAACTGTTCTAAAATTAGAACAGCCTTGTTTACAGACACGAGTATCGCCCCTTGTGAAAAAATTCTCGTCAGAATCCTTAACTAAACATTCAGTTTCTTTAACAAGTTAAAAAATAATTTAGGAAGACAATGGTTAACAACATTAGACGCCACCGTTATTTGTTTTCTGTGACGACAAGGCACAATACACTTTTGTATTTTATGTCTCAAGTAGAGGGGTGGGATATTTTTTCTTTGTAAGCGTGTTGTAAACAATGGGTAGAGGAGACGATTACTAAGAGGTGAGAGAACGTGGCTTGCATCGCGATACTTGAAAACATGGCGATGTTTAACCTTGTCACAGGGTTTTTGTGTGTGACTGGGTTCACGATATAAATTTGCCACAGGCCGTTTTCCTACCTTTCATCTATCACATACGAAATCACCAGACAAGCCTTCTTTTACGTTACATACATATTTATTTTGTCTCCACATAGACAGCGTGTACAGCCAGCCTACGCCATGTTCTTCTCCTCTCTCGTCTCTCCCTCTCACGCATGCGCACAACTACAGTCTTTTTCTGATGCAATCTCAAAAACACACTCCCAGGCTACGATCCAACAATGTTTCACTGTTATACGCCCTTTCTCCCCTTAAAAAAATTAATTTATTAATTTTTTTTTTGTTATATAGATCACATTCACTATAAAATCTTCATGATAACATAACAGTGAAACAAAAATCATGTGGAAAAAGAAACTTGTTAATGAACATCCTAAATTATTTTATATGTACACTGATGAACTAAATAAAAACTATCAATAAGCCAATACTATATCCCATAGAGGAGTATTTCCCATGAACCCCTAAAATATCAACCAGGTACTCGGTACAACCTCGAGATACCAAAATAAAACGGACTGCATCCTCAGTCTCGCACAACAAAATCAACTATCTAGCGATGAAGATCAATTATCTCCAAAAACAACACTAAGCTAATGGGTTCATTATCCAACCAAGAAAATCAAACCTCTTATGGTATAATAATTTAGCACATTGTACATTAAATATAAAGATATAACTCAATCACATTTCACTTGCTATATCAACTAATGGTGCATGACGACGCACATCCAACTATTAGTATACAAATATTATATCCAATGGAGGACAATTTTCCATGACCCCGGGACAAACAAAATATCTCGGCAAACCATCGAGATCCAAATAACCATAATCAATATCCATCAAATAACTATGTTACGTATCAACCCGACAGCATCCAGCATGAATGGGTGACTATGACAATACAACTACTCTACAAGGGAAACAGGGAAAATACTGGGTCCAACCATCAAATCAGAAAATATATCCTCAATTGATATCATATCCAATAAACCAAAGAGTTCCCAAACCTAGCAATAACAAAGTAACAAATTACTTAGGTAAACCTTCCTAGTTTAATAAGAACAAATGACTCTAACTAAGGAACATCTCCTCTTAGTATAACAAACAAAAATCATTAAACCTCACTAAGGAATATTGCCTCTTAGTGTATCTCAAAGAAATATAACTCAGGAAAACGTTCTCCTATTGGAACAAAATTATAGCTATGTAATAGCTCCCATGGGCAAATCATATCCTTGATTTCCCTACTTCAATGGTTGAGGTCAACTCCTCATCATAATATATGTAAATTACCACATCTTATTACATATAATTACCACATCTGTCAGGTCATACTGCCATAATCATGTTCATTACTTAACAAGATATACAGTATACATACAAATCATAAAATACAACAAATGTATGTTCATTTTCATTACTAAATTGAAATAGTGGTAAAAACATATTTATACAAGTCATTTTATGACTTATTCCTGTCTTGCTCACATTTTTAAAATACTAATGTTCTCTGGAAATACACATCACATATTACATTATTCAAAATCTCCTTATAAGAATTGGCTGATATGTCTCAGGTCATTATTTTCTTTAGTCAGTTCCATGTTTGTTTTTTCATCTTCCATCTGTCTTGATAAAAAATTTAACTAGTGTATTGTGCAGTCCCTTTACAGATTAGCTTTTCTTGACATAATGTTATTAGACAAATCCATTTTCCTTATGAAAGCAATATTTACTAAGTCAAAATTCCAAACACATAGTTAAGCTCTGTTAATTGAATACAGCTTTAAACAACAATAGGATCCATGAGTGTTACCATATAAGGTGTAAAAGAAATACACAACTGTTCTGTTCATCAACATCAGTTAGCAAAATAACAGGTCTAATAGCAAACCAAACATTTGTTAACACATTATGATACCAAACTCCATGCTTTACCTTAAATGGTTTTCTAACTTACAAATTTTTCTAAAGTCAATAACATGTAAAATAATGTATGTTTGTAGTCCTCAGTGGTGGTAGCTATACTTTAAATCACTGATGCTTAAGTACCAATGCACACAACATAAAAATAACAGGTTTTGTTAGCCAAAACGGAATGTGTACAGCTAATCAATGAAATAAATTTTTTAAACTGTTGAGGTTGGTGATACAACTAAAGTGGTTAAAAATTGCATTGCTACATCCACCAAACCAGGTTATATATGCATGATAACTGATGTTACATATTAAGGCATGAAATTAAAATCTTAAAGGATTAGTGAGTTCAGCATATTCATCTACAGGAATATTATAAAATTTGCATAGTCCAAACAATGATTTCACTTCTTTCCTTGTACTAGTAGTTTTGATATTTAATATTTTGTCCTTATTTCCTTCAGTAGGTTTAATTTCTTTCTTTCCAACCTTGAATTCTAGGAAGTCTACTGTATCCACTTCCACATGCAGTTTCTCTGGTGCTATGGTAAACACATGTTTTCTAAGTCTTTCTAGTATTTCTTTTAGTGTTTCTATGTGTTCTGCCCATGTGTTATTGTGTATGCATATATCATCAACAAAGAAGACCAGGTTTTTCATTCCCTCTGTC